ATGGAATATCAGAATTATGTTGAGAAATGCCCAACAGGCAATTTGTAACCAGCTTACAGAATGTAGAAAGAATGTTCAAGTTTTAGTATAGCTACAGAAATCTTCAGCAATTAATATGACACTTTCTTGTCTATGCAAATTTGGGCTGAACCCTTCATTGCACTATTTCATTAAATGTCCCCAAAGAATTTATGAGTAAGGATTATTACTGTCCTCATTTTGCACAGGAAGGGAAAACCCTCCGGAAGTTAAATTATTTAAGTAAGGTCTTACAACTGAAAAGTAGTAGAAACTGAATGTGGAATCAAGTTACATTCACCTTTAGTTTAATTTCCAGTGTTTAATAACTAGTTTAATTTTTTATATTGCCACAAGAGTTAATGAGTGCAAGAATGAAAAGCCAAGATCTCAAGGACAAAAAAATGGCACAATAATGGATGAAAGGGAAAGAAAGTAAGATTCAAGTGAAAGTTTCTGAGAAGGAGGTGACAAGGAAGATAGAAAGCATAAGCATCCTTGTCAGCGTACTAACTGGAGAGGCTGCATTTTGATAATAGGGCTTATATTTAACATACACTTAAATAAATGGGAAATGTCTTTTGACTCTGACCATCAAAAAATCCATTTCATTACTTTACACATAAACATTTTATACACGTTAAACCACACGTGTCTTAGCCCTTTTATGGCCTAAGTACTTACCAGAGATCCCTGGTTTACTATTTCCTTCTCTGGAAGCAACCTTCATATCCCAGGTCAGATTACTGCTACAGATGAAGAGCATGCCATCGTACCTGCGCTGACTTTTTGCTGAAGGGAATGTAGGATAATACCCTTTTGACATTCAGCCACAGCACTTTGTAAACTAGAAGTAGAACTAACACTTTTCCTTTATAATGTCTAATAGTGTAGCAGCCACAAATCTGGAGTAGAAGGCACATTAGAAAAAGTATGCACTCAGCAAGTAGAGATTACAATTCTTACAATGACATTTTGTATCTATGACTTTGAAGAAATTATTGAAATACTTGGAGCATTATTTCCTGAATTCATTATAGAGTAGGGGCACACACTACAAGTTTCAGAATTAAATAAGTTTACCAAGATAAAGAATACTCAATACTAGGAAGCTGAAATGCTAGTACACACAGAATCCTTTTTTGTGTGCTCTATTCAGATGCTTTTGTTTTTCTTTGTTTATTTCATAGCTTGTTTCTACTCATGTTAGGTGGGTTAGGAGGAAAGTGAGTTCTAACTCAGCCACATCTTTCCAATGCAAATCCAGTGAGTACAACATTCTACTTGGCAATAAATGTATTAATAAAAACAGTGTGTGTAGTGTATAATCTGGTTCTCTGGATCTATACTAATGGAGAATATTTAAAACTTATGTGATAATTTTTTTCATAATCAGGTAAATCTTTCTTTTGGAAAACATCAAAATTCTCATACACTAAAGTTACTTATTTTGAGCACTTCCCATACTTAAGTTTCTTGGCTTCTTTCTATACAACCTAAAAGTTGCCGCTCACTTCCTGACAACTTTTATATCCTGAACACTGCTGAACAACACTGGTTGTAACTCCAATTACAAGTTAGCACAAGTTTTGGACAAGCCTAGTGGATGAAAGGGGAATTCTTTGAAGACAACAGAGAAATGAGCCAAGCCTTAACTTGGCAGACCTATTTATTAAAACAGTGATTTAGGAGATTGTATTTTTTTTTTTTTCAAATGCCACTTCAGACATCCATCTCATTCAAGATCTCTAACCTTCTGTTTCAGGAATGAGACTGTTCTTTAGACTCATTGACTTGTCCTTGTTGTTTGGCATAATTATTAATAATGCCCCCTTGTTCTTTCAAGAGGCTTGCTGTGGATGATAAATTCTATGGTCACCTTTTCCCAGGCTTTTTGCAGAATAGATTAAGGCTCATCTCTTTATGCATTCCTTATATCAATCTAAGAAACATTAGTATATCTTTCCTACAATAAAACCGTTGGGATCCTATCTTACAGTCCTTTGAATACTCCATTGATGAAATAACTAGAGATCACATAAGCTAATGAATAACTCCCTGTGGCTTTTCTTAGTGGTGAAAACAAACAAGGCAACTTCAGGGAGCTTGTCTAATTCAGCAGGCCTGTGAAAGAAACATGACAGAGTGTCTTTTCTAGTTTATATTTGCAAAGCAATCTCCAATCACTTCAATTAGTTTTCCACTTCATAAGTACAAGATACATACCCACATTGGACAGTGAGAGACAAGAGACTCAGATATCTGATACCGTGCTTTTTGAGATACCACTCCCAGCTTGGATTCTGAGCACTTTGTGATCTCACACACTTCCTACAAATTTGAGTCATCTGCCTTTCTGCATTTCAGGAGAGGGTATGTGGTGGTTTAGCAGTGTGAGAGTAATGAGATTGTCAGCATTGCCAGAGATGCTCAGAATATGTCCAAGATACAGAATGGCTGCTGGGAAGATGAGCTGCTTTTGGGCCTAGAGACTCGGAGTATCTTTTACAAAGATTTCACTGAGCTGCTTGTCTAGGTAAATCAAAAAGTCACTTTAGTTTACAGCATTTAAAAAAATATATAAACTGTGAGTATTTTCTTCCCACTCTGAACAATTATCATGAGGCTTAAATGAATTCTTCTGGAGAGAAATTACCCATACTTCCTGTCCAGCTAGGGAGCTTAACACCAGAGTTGGTCATCATCCCTGGGCATAATCTCCTGCCCTCTGAGAGGCACTGATGCTGAAGTTTCAGGACTCCTTTCATGGCCCTAGACCTGAATTTTTAATTTTAACTTCATATTTTTTGCTTCAGCAGCTCTCCATTTTCTAACTTTTGTATTCCTGAAAGCCTGGATCATGTGGTATTTGTCCTATATCATAAATCTAAATATCTGATTTTTCCAACATGCTGCTGATCACAAGGGAGACCACAAAATGGTGACAATGACTCAGCCTGCTTCTGGCTCAGGGAAACAGGTTGAGGCCTACCAGGAAGCTGGCTCAGGCACACCACTGAGGGCCAGCCCACACTATGCCTCAAACTTCTTTCTCTCCTTGTTTCTATCACCATCAGCTCCTCACCTAGATCAAACCCTTCCAGCCTTACCAAACTGATGCTTTACATTTGGCAATGATCCTTTTTGTCATAATTCATACATTTTAAGGGCTAAAAATGATTTAACCATCTCTGGTGTCTGTGTACTCCTCCTGTAAAGGTACGGTGTTAGCTTATTCTTTAACAAGTAGAATATCTGTCTCATTTGGTAGATACAATCTGCCTGATGTGTCCCTCTGTGGGTGAAAACTAATAAGACCTACTTATCTAAGCACCTCAGCACCTTATCTAAACACACATAAATGCAATTCTACATACCTTTCCCTAGTGTCTTCTAAGATAAAACTAGAGAAGACAATACCTGTTCATAGATTTAAAACATAGCCCTCATGTCACTCTAAGATGGGCTTGGCATTTTACTACACATATATATCATCTCTAGTCCTTTCACTGACTGTATAATATAGGTATCATTATTCTCATTTTGTGGATGTGAAAATAAAAGTTTTAGTGATTATGTAATGTATCCAGGTCACACATCCAAAGCGTTCTGTGCTTGTGAGGTTGTAGAGGCTGAAGTGTGCAATGTCAAAGGAAAAAAAATTAAAAAAATCATGGCCACGCTCAAACTTCTACTTCCCATTTCACACAGGCTTGAGTTTAAATCTTGGTTCTAACACTTGTTACCTTCATGAGGTTTTGGGAAGGCTGTTCTCAATCTTGGTCTTCTTATTTCTAAAGGGAGCAAAATATTTTACTCCATAAGGCAGCTGAAAAGATGGACGAAACCACGTCCATCAGTGGAGTCCGGCACAGCTTATTTGGGTTTGGAATTTTCATCCTCAGGACTTGCAGGTCCACCTTTTCATTTCCTTTAGGTTGTCACCGAACTGCCTCCTTCTCTGTGAAACTTTCCCTGACCATCTTTCTAAAATGTCAGTCCCATACCAAGTCTTCATATGTCCTTTTATACCTTATCCATATATACGTTTAGGCCAGGAATCTTTGTTTCTGTTATTACTTCCATATTATCCTAAGTACACAGAGTTGTAGATGGTGCACAGTAGGCACCCAAGGTACACTGATTAAATGGATGAATGAAAAAAAAATTCTTTAGCAGCTTCAAGATCAAAGTTTGAGCTTGGTTTTTACCTCAATAGCTATTAGACCTGGGGGACACTACTTGACATGTCTAGTTTCTGGTTTTCTCTGTTGTAAAATGAAACAGTAATAGTATTTATTTTTAAGACTCCTGGATGATTAAATGACATTCATATGAAAACCATGGAAATATATCAAGGACTCCATAAATATTTGTTATTAATCTTACCTATCACTTGTCTTCCAGTGTTGCTCAGAGCTTTTAGGATAAGAGAAGACGCTCAAACTATTGATGCTCTCACCATTTTCAGTCTAGTCCTTTTTCTTTTTAGAGTAGAGGTGAAAACATTCAATGTTCCTATCGAAAAGCAGCTCAGTGACTAAGGCCAGGAGAGCAAACGACTTGCCCATGGTCACTAAACTCTAGCACAGGGTCAGACAGGACCCAGATGTTAGTGTTGTGGCTCCTAACACTGCTTTCCGGGCTGCTTTTCTAAGCTTTCTGTAGTGGGAGGTGGTGTAGGGGCTGGTGCTGTCAGGGTACCTGGGTTCAGGTAGGTGGGTCACTAAATCACCTTCTCCATAATACTTTTGACACTCATTTTTCTCCTATGCAAAACAGTGTAAATAAAATCCATACCTCACAGTTTTGTTGTCAGGATCAAAGCGAGAAAATCTCTGGCAACTGCAGAACGCAATGCAAATAAATGAACTCCAGAGTCCCTTAGTTTTCAGGCTGGAGCAAAACTCCTATCTCCACCCACTTCCAAAACCGCGAAGTAGGCAGGAGGATTAAGCCCGGGGAGGAGTTCCGCCCAAACCCCCGCCCCGCCGCAGAAGCCTCACCCTGGCACCCACACTTGTGCTCCGGGTGTCTGTCCCGCGCCGATCCCACCCAGGCTGCTCTTCCTCGGCCACGCACGGCACGGCGGGCCGGCCGCCAGGATGCAGGCCCCGCACAAGGAGCACCTGTACAAGTTGCTGGTGATCGGCGACCTGGGGGTGGGTAAGACCAGCATCATTAAGCGCTACGTGCACCAGAACTTCTCCTCACACTACCGGGCCACCATAGGCGTGGACTTTGCGCTTAAGGTGCTCCACTGGGACCCGGAGACCGTGGTGCGCCTGCAGCTCTGGGACATCGCAGGTGAGCGCTGCGGGAGGAGGGCGGGGCGGGAGGGGCGGGGCTGCGGGTCCCTGCTGGTTCCAGCCCTGAGCAGATCTACTGGAATCTTCAGGGCTTTTCTCTAGAAGAGCTCTGGTATTTTGGAAACTTGTTTTCAGAGGGGGTGTGGGGCAGAAAGTTTCACTCCAGTGCATTCTCTAGTGCTTTGAAGCTAAGGTTCTAATACTCTCACTTTCCTATGGGATATTTCTGGCCAGAGCAGGCCTCTTTGGGGACTCAGGGAGTGCAACTGGGTTTAGTTCTCTGTCTCATTGGTTTTGTGGACTAGGAGTCTTACTAATGACAGTGCATAGAGTATCACTCATGCTCTTCGTGGCTGAGCCCACAGAGGGGAAAATTCCTAGCCTTGTATAAAGGAAACTGGAATAGTCTCAGGCTAGTTGAAGTTTGTCCATTCTTGCTTTTATCAGTTTGTCCCAAATGTCACCCTCCCTCCCACACTCTTTAGTCAAGGGAGTTTGGGGTTATTTGCTTTCTATACATCAGGGGCAAAATTACCCTCCCCGTCTGTCTCTCTGTTCTCTATCTTTCTATCTCTCTGCTTCTCTGTGGTCTATCAAAAGGAAGTTGTGTTGCATTTTAAAGCAGCCACGGTAAGATCTATGACATTAGCTATAAGGTTCCTTGATTTAACACTGAAACTGTCTTTGAGCAATCTGGAAAATGAGTTTTTTGTTTTCCTTGACACCTTTGAAAATCAGAATTTGACTCTGAAGTTAGTACCTGGAGTTACATATAATCCAAAGTGAGGGTGGAGGGTGTCTTTGCCCCAGTGAGGCTTGGACCTAAAGCTATTTGCAACCTGGGCATGTCCACCCTTTTTCTACAAGTCTTGGTTCTGCTGACTCACTAACCTGCTCAGTGGCTTTGGGCAAGTTCTTTCAGCTAACTCCCATCCCTATTAAGTGGAAAGGGGTTAGACAGTGACGATCCAGAGCCTTCCTGCCTAGCTGTTTTAAAGTCCTCCAAGATTCTCCATGAATCACTTAAAACAGTCCCACTTAATGTCTATTTTATGGTCTGTGGCTCAGGAATCTTTCTTTATTTGTGCTGCACACAAACTAGTCAATTTTCTTCCTCCAGAAAACAGGTTCGATTCATTTGGTGTATTTGCCTGGAAATGTTTTATCATGACTTGAAATGAGAACAAACGTGGAAAATTTTTGAAAGGGCATTGCTGGTGTGGGGATCCTAGACTAATGAGTTGCCAGGTCTTATGATAAAGCTCTTGGAATGTGAACAGATTCATGCTTTTGGAGGCATGGAGAGTTCTTTCAGCATCAGGTTACTGGTGACAGGAATGCGTCATCAACTAGTGGCTGATTGGGCTTTTGACTTTAAATATTCACTATTACTCTTTATAGTACTCAGTTACTACATGTTTTACTGTCTGAGAACTCTTTTAGATACATAAAAGTGTCTAGGAATGGGGTTTAGAAATAGCTTCCTGTTTCAAAAGAGATGTACTTCTGTTTAAAATCTGAGTAACATTGTGCCACAGGGATATTTTGCCTCCATTAGTCTCCATTCCCTTACCTGAATGGTAGAAAAAAAAAGATAATGATTACAAACCCAAATCCTAGAGTTGAGCTCTTGTCTGAATCTTGCTTTATTCCATATGCTTAGAAGTATGTAAGTAAGACTTCAACAAAGTTTTGGAAAATCAATTTTACAGGTACAGTGACGTTCAACCCTGATAGTGGACTCTTTGGACCAGAATTCTAATCCTCAGTTATAACTAATCTTTCTTAGGCAGTCTCAAGCTTACAAGATTGGTGGGACAAGTTGGAGGTGCACAGAAAGCAAAGCTGGTTGGGTGGAAGTGAGGCCTTGTTGGAAGATGATGGTGAGGCATATATGCTTGAGGCTATTTGAGAAACCTGTAGGTTATGAGTGCATTTGAAATGCAGCCACAACTGCCCACTCAGACTGTAGTTAACTAAATATTGCTTCTAGTACTTTCAAGTCACATCCTGTCTTCTTCCTTTGTGCTCAACTTTGGTGTGTTTTCATAAAGTATAGATGATGGAGTTTGGTGTGCCTAGCTCTGGAAGGGCTGGGGTTGTCAATAAGACAGACAGGACTTGCCACGGCCTGATGGAATATCAGACATATTAGCTAAATCTTTGCTCACATAGATTTTTGATAATCGTTTGGCTCAATGCTAAATAGGGTCTTATTTGTCCAGGAAGTCTCTGTGATAAATGTCTTGTAGCCACTTTGGACAGTCTAATCGTGCAAGTCTTTCCAGAAAAAAATATCATTAGGGAGTTGTAAGGCAAGGTGATACATTCCACAAACTCTTTAGGGACTGGCAGTTGCCCTAGATCTTAGGACGCTATAATACAGGAGCAGCTGGGTCAGTTTTGTTGCCAGAAGCTTTTGCGACAGTCAGAAAAATGAAGTAACTTCCCCCAAGGCAACTCAGCTCCTTGTGGAAGAGCTAGATTAGACTCATTCTATGATTTGGAATCAAACCATGGTCTTTGTGCCCATAGACTGCTGAGTGACTGCCACAGAGTTGGCCTATGGGGATAGGACACTGTTTCCCTTATTTAGTTGGTAGGTTATCCTTGCCTTATCCTTGTGATTTCTAACCAATTTTTGGGTATCAGTACCACTCTGTAGAAAATGGAAAGAAATTGTATGAAAAGTTCATTCTTGGTTATGTGAATTTATCAGGGTTTTTTTTTTTTCTTTTTTATGTGGATTAATCAACCAAAAAAAAAAAAAAAAGGAAAGTTCACATATGAGTCTCCAAATGTAGATACTGTAATTGCTCCGTTATCTCCCTCACTGAAAGCTATACAATTTTATCTAAAACTCTTCATATGCTTTGTGACTCAGCTACTGGAATTTGGACACTTCTGGTAACAGCAGTTAACATTTCTAAACATTATATTGTTACACTTGCTCAGGAATATTTTATTTTCTAGTACAGTAGATGGTTATGTGCTAGTGCTAAAATTAAAACATGACTTGAATCCAGATCTCAGGTTCCTAATAGCTTTGCTCTACCTTCCTCAAATTAAAATAGAGTACTTCAGACATATTCTAAATATACTGTAAGTCATACATACTGTAAAAACGTAGCATTTGTCAGTAAACAATCCATGAAGCTTTGGTGGATCTCAGGTGCCTCATTTACAAAATAGCAGTTATTTTATTTTCCTGTGATATCAGGTATTGTAAGATGTTATCTCTTGCAGTCCCTATCAGCTTCGTTATCCTAGTCTCACTTTGCCTGTGGTATAAGTAGTTTATGAAAGGTTATTCCAGCTTCTTTATCTACATGTCTCTCATGAGTTGGCCAAGTTACTTATCCTCTATGCTTTCGTTTCCTGTTTGTAACCTGGGTATCATAACAGAATCTGTGTATCTTAGATTTGTTAAAATAATTAAATGAGTTAGTTCCTATTAAGCTGTACCTGACATATAATAAATGTTGAACAAATGTTTGTCATTACCTTATTTTAATTGTAATAACAAATTACTTTTATATACATTTTCCATCTTGAACTTATCAAGGTCACTAACAATATAGATAGAAAGGATGAAGTTCAATCTGTTTCATATTATAGATGATCAAGAATAAGAGAGGTAACAAATTTGCCTAAGATAAGGGATTGGACAAGCTTGTAGAAAAAGGTCTCAAATGCCACAGAACAAGAACATGTGTTAGAAATGACCCAAGAGTGTTGATCATCAAAAAATCAGAAAGCCCAATGCTATACCTAATAGAGTATAAAGCAAATTATGATTGCAAATATTTTATTAGGTACATTTGCACTATGCAAATTTTTATTGAAAGTCTCTAGCAAATAATGAATGACTCTAATGATAAGATTCTTTTTTTTTCATAAGCCATGTACAAGTGTTTATTTCAGTAAGAGGTCGTAAAATATATTTTTATAATATATGTAAGAAAAACATTTGAATGAAAAAAAGAAACAGGAAGTGACAGAGTTTAGTGTTTTAAATGAAATTTCAATTAACAATTCATAAAAGAAGTTCAAAGTGTACCTACAAGTTGAGACCATGCTTTACAAATGTTCTAGAACGACAAAAGGTATTAGCTGTTTTAAGGTAATACGTGGATTAACCTTTTCAGAATGATTTCAAAACAGGTTGCTAGATACTGTCATACAGACATAAAAAAGACACAAGAACTTTGGTGAGCAAAGTATTATTCTATAGCAGTTTGGTAAAAGTTTACTTCTTTTAATATAAAGGTTCTTTAATTTACATTTGTTCTTGTTACAGGGACAGAAACAATTAAAATGCTAATGTTTGGGGTCTATAAGCTATATGGTAAAAATAATTATTTCGATAAAGCATGAATTCTATGAAAATGTGCACCACACTGCATATGTAACTGAGTAAACGTAAACCATGTGATTAACTCTTCCATACAAAATGTTTAGAGTACATCTATAGTAACTGTCACTACCAGCTTTGTTACAAGAACTCAGAGAAGAACATTATTACTGGGCAAAGTAGCAAGTTGATGGTAGGCCAAACCCAGAGTCAGGGTCCCTAGGCAGCTTCCAGGCTCTTCACACCAGGGGCTGTGACATTCATTTGGGTCACAGTAGGAGGCTATTTTACAGTTTGCAAAGTGCCTTCAAGTTGTGAAACACAACTGGAGGGATCCGACTTTACAATCTCTTTAGTATCTTATTTTTTGAGTAATTCTCCCATGAGTTTTATAAGGTAGGGATTAAGCATTAAGGTAATACATCTAGAAATGCAGAAAAACTAAATTTGGCAACTAGAAAAAAAATATACACGTGTCAAGTCTGGGGCACTCTCTACCTGGCAGTTTCTTGCCTTGTATCTAACCTGGCTAACTATAGATTTTCTGATTTCTGTGTGGAATAGCATGTTATGTGCTTATAGGCATAAGAGTGTGTACTGAAAGCAAAAATGATGAAATTTCAAAGGTGGACAAAGGATATGGG